CCCTACAGCCCTTGTCCCAAGCCCCTCTCCAGCTTTCCTGCAGCCCCTTTAGGCACTGGAGCTGCTCTAAGGTCTCCCCTTCAGGAGCCTTCTCTTCTCCAGGCTGCCCCAGCCCAGCTCTCTCAGCCTGGCTCCAGAGCAGAGCTGCTCCAGCCCTCGCAGCATCTCCATGGCCTCCTCTGGCCTCGCTCCAGCAGCTCCAGGTCCCTCTTGTGCTGCTGCCCCAGAGCTGGATCAGGGCTGCAAGGGGGTCCCCTCAGAGTGCAGCAGAGGGGCAGGATCCCCTCCCTCCACTGCTGCTCACGCTCTGGGGGTGCAGCCCAGCACACAGGGGGGTTCTGGGCTACTCACCCCCATCCTGCTTTGCTCGCAGAGCCAACACACCCTGCACAGCCACCCCCCTGCCACAAAGTGCCATTCTTTCATTCAACACATCCCTAAGCACCTGATACCAGTATGAAGCTGGTATTGATACATCCCTGCACCCAAGGGGTCCCTGCCCGCCTCCAGCATCCCCAGCAATACTCACTCCCTGTGCTGCCTGCATCCCTGGGTACCAGCCAGGACAGAGCCTGCTCCTAACCCTCCCTCCATCCTCCCTGGCTGCACGTCAGCACCTTATCGCAGGAGGCCCTGTGGTTACCCCCTTATCTAACGCTGAACTTTTGCCTCCGAGGATCTCCCTGCTACCCCCATCCCAACACGATGCAACAGGCAGCTGAGCTTCGTTCTGAAGTCTCTGCAAACCAAAAGCCACGTTTGGGAAGGACTGCAAATCAGGATGGTAAAATAAAGCTCTTTCTATGGAAGAGGACCCCCATACCCACTCCCAGACAGACCCATGCACAAGGATGCACCTCGGCAGGGTCTGTGAGGAGTGCTGGGGCCAGAGCGGTCGGCTCAGGCTCCAGTTTAACACAGCTCCAGTTCAGCTCACACAAAGGCACTCAGGCCTTGGGAGCTATTGCAGCATTCAGTATTTACTCAGCTCCTCAAGCAGGTTTCGCAGCCCCGCTGGTGCCCACCCCTCTTTACAGCCAGCTCAGGTATGTGTGTGTACACAAAGGACTAGTGCAAGCAGATCCTTAGCCCATCTGCAAAGGGAACCGCTGCTCCCACCCTTGGGGAACAGCCCCCAAGCCCCTTAGAAGCATCCCCAAGGCACCCTTCACATCCCAAGATCCCTCTGCAGAGAGCATCAGTGGTGACACCACCTCCAAGCCATGGTTCCCTACTGCCCTGTCCCCTTGGCATCTCCCTCCTGCTTTGATCACCCAGAGAAGCTGGAAATACAGCAGGGATACGGGAGCAACTACTGCTTCAGCATGGGAAAAGCAGAGAAGCAGAGTGGCAACGGCAGCTCCACAGATGTTCAAAGCAGGCACCAGTTCATTTGGTCTCTAAAAGGAGTTCTCCCTGTTGCTGCCCTGGTGTGACCTGCAACCCCAAAAGTATGGCTCAAGTCTTTCTCCACTGAGACCATGAAGCTGGACCCAACAAGGCACAAGTCAATCCCTGTGGTCGCTCCAGCCCTGGGCCTGGAGAAGGTTACGGAGGTGCTCAGCAGCAAGTCCTGACCATGTGTACAATAGAAGTAACCATGTTTTAACACTAAAATACGTTACAGAATACATAAAATACAGTATACTGTATAGTATGGACATGTATGCAGTATAATAAATGCGTATGTGCACATTATAATGCATTATTAACCACGCAGAAACACAAAGGTCCTGTCTCCAGCTTGCTCAGGGGATGGGGCACATGTATTCATGCCCAGCACCTCAGCCACAGCATGCCCCAGAGACACCCAACCCAGGCAAGGACATTGTCCTGCCCCAGCACCCATCCCCAAGCCCATAGCCGAGCTCAGGATCACGACTGCCCGGCACAGAAGGACGATCAGCACTAGCCATGATGCTGCTTCCCAGCACGATTCCCACCAGGCGATGCTCCCTCGCCCATCAGAGCCCACTGCCACCTCCCAGGGCACCTGCACCCTCGCAGATCTTAGGGCCACCTCATCCCTCCTTTCCCATGTTTTGGCTCTCCTCCAGCCCTCGGAATCCTGCCAACACCCCAGGGCTTATGGAAAGTTGACTCCAGCAGGATGAGGAGCACCTCTGGGGGCTTGTTCCTGCCTTGCACATGAGTTACAGCCGGGCTGCTGGGTTTAAAATACCTTCAGTGCCCTTCCCAGCTCACCCCGAAAACACCTTGGAAGCATCAGTACTCCAGGTACACGTGCAGCATACACCAGCAGGAGTACAAAGAGGAGCCGTGAGTGATAGTGGCACCATTACCAACCAGTGTGGGCTCCAGACCCTGCCCGGGCTCCTTTGTTCTTAACTTTCTGGTTTTGATTTGGTCTTTTTTTGTTTCTAAAAACACACTAAAAAAGAACTTTTCCTTTCAAAAGCCTGAACTTTCTCAGCTGCAGACACGTTACCTTGCAACTGCCTGAACACAGCCCTTCACCTCTGCTTTATGTACATTGTCATCCGCCTCCCCGTTTTCCATATTGATTTATGGTTCACGTTCTTTTCACATTCCCTTTTAACAGCGCCGGTTTTAACCAAACAGCCTTCCCTCCCGAGCCCAAGCCACGCATTCTGCCGGCCAGTCAGTAATCAACTTCCAATTCTCATGCACACTCCTGTTTATATTTCCTTCCCTATCGGCTTTGTTTCTAATTAAGGTTTGTTAAATGCAAGTGAATATATAGCATACAGAGAAATATAAAGCATGTAGATAAATAAACACCCCACACACAGGCGCACTGACTAAAGGCTGCACTTTCAACCACGGATCCCAAAGCACTTTGTCATGTTCATTAACAAAACCTTGCGGCTCCCTTGGGAAAGATGCCGGTATTATTTTACGCCTTGTAATTAGGAAAACTGAGGCACAGAGGAGACAAGTGAAATTATCAGCATTAGAGAAAAGCTCCATAGCAGAGCTGAAAACAGGACACAAGAGGCAGGATCCCCAGGCAAATAACCAGGATGCTTTTTTCCCCCTTTTTGCCCCCATTTTGGCCTTGGGAATCTGCCGGAGCTGGTAATGGCAGCATGGAAAGCATCTCCAGCATGGAAGAGCCCGTGGCCAGGGTGATGTGGTGGGGTCCAGCTCTCACCTCCTTGGCCAGTGACTACCGGGTAAGTCTGCCTACACCAATAGGGCCCAGGGCATCTGGAGATGCAGGCAGCCACTGCACCCAAGCATCCCATGGAGCTCCGGGAAGAGGCAATTCCCAAAGGGGAGGAAGGAGCAGGGGTGTTCCTAGGGAGCTGTATCCCACACGCTTTTACCGCATCAGCTCTCCAGAAGCCTTTGCAAGCAGGGAAAGGCTGGGACATGGCAGGTGGTTGCCCACACCAGCACTGCAAGTGACCACTGCAACCCCATGACACACATAAGACAGGAGGCAACAGCAGGGGCAAAGGGGGGACCCACTGAGCCTGTACCAATGCATTCATCCCCAGATGGGGACAACCACTGGAAGCACAGGGCTTGGTCCCCATTGACCATCTCCCTGTGAGCATCCCCATCCATGGAGAAGCGCACCTTCTGGTGATCATCTCAGGTGGATGAAAGCCCCCACCAGTGCTGTCTGGCCCCTCATCCCCAGATGCATTCCTTATCTCTTGGGAGGAGCCCAGGTGCTCTTGCATCCAGTCCCCACTGCTACTGCCACGATGGTGGGAAAGTCACCCACTTCTCCATAGGCGCAGGACAGGGTGCCAGGAGCAGGTCACCAACCCCCAGCACTGCCTGGAGGCTCCTCTCAGGGTGCAGGAAGCACAGGGTGGGGTGATGGTGTCACCCCGTCCCTGTACACGGTGCCAGCTCCATCTCCTGCTGTAGTCAGCACCAATGGCTCTGTACAGCCCAGCCCGCTCGGCCCCACTGGCCAGGCACAAACCCCATTGTCAGTGTCAGCTACACCAGCTGATGAGGCCAGATGTCCCACGTGGACATGTATGCTCCCACAAACACGCTCACCACCCCAACCCTTCCCCCCCCACCCATAATTAAAACCATACCAGGCTCATTTGAATAGCATAGCTGGCTAGCGCTCTCCGCTGCAACGTAAATAGTCCTATTTATGCCAAGCTCCCATATTGTAAATATCACGATGTATAGCTGGCCAACCTATGAGTCATCTCCCAAAACTCCAACTTAATAAATGGTGCCTCATCCATGTTCCAGACAAACATCGTCCGTGCGGCTCCCACCGTCCGGCGCCTCCACGCCCGGGGCCAACGAACCGGGGGACCACAGGGACCTCCCGCAGCGGGCTCCGGGATGAGCCAGGTTCTGACCGGACACGATGCCCTCACCCCTGCCCAACCCCGCTTCCCCGGCGCTGCAGGCTCGGTCGGGGTGGGCTTGGGAGCGGGAGGACGAGTCCGTTCCCCCCTTCCCCTTTCTTGGACCCCACGACCGGGCTCCCACCCAGGACCCTCCCCAGTGGAGCTCCCCACCTGCCGTTGCTTTGTCTGAGCACCGGGGGAACGCGGCGGGGAGCCGGGAAAGCCACGCCGCCAGCAGGGAGCCGGCCGGGAGCTCGGGGGATGCCGGCACGGCCTTGCTGAGCTGCGCCCAAAAGCTGCTTTCTACCCGCAGCGGGCACGGAGCGGCGGAGCCGGGGCATCCCTCAGAGCACCGGGGGACCGGCCGAGCTGCCTGCGGGGGGATGCCCGCCCTGGCGAGGGGATGGCGGGGAGACGGGATACGAGACCGAGGGGGTCTGGGGACGGCGCCGGTGGGGGGGCGACACACAAGGGGCCCCTGGCTCCGCACCGGGCTCCGGCGGCGGCACCTCCGGCTGCGGCGGCACTTCCCAAACTTCACCTCCCTGCAGCGCTGGAGGGGTGCGGGTGGGGGCCGCCCACACACAAAGTGCTGCCCCCTCCCCCAAAAAAGGGGGAAAAAACCCGAAGTGGGGATCGCCCCGAGGCGGCCCCATCCTCCCCCCCCCCCTCCCTTTCCCTTACCTTCCACGGCGGCGAGCAGCGGCAGGAGGGCGAGGGGCAGGCAGCAGAGCCACAGCGGCCCCATGGTGCGCGCCGGGCCGGGCATCAGAGGCGGCGCGGCCGGCGCTCCATGGAGGCGGCGTTGGGGGGGGGGAGCGGCGGAGCCGAGCCGAGCCCCTCGCTGGGGCTGGGGCCGCCGCCGGCGCGGGCACGGCCGCGGGCACGGAGCGCACCGCCGGCCGGGCCGAGCCACCGCCGCCGCCGAGCGGGGGAGCTCCCCCCGCCGCCCGCCCCGCCCCGCCCCGGGGAGCCGCTGGGCCGGCGGGGGAGGCGGCCGGGTGTGGGGCGGGCGGCGGCGGCGGCGCTAGGGGCCGGGGGGGTGCGGAGGGGAGCGGAGGGAGAACGGCGGGGGGCGGCGGGCGGAGGGCGGGCGTTGGCTCCCCCCGCGCAGCGATGGTTCCTCCCGGAGCTGTCGATCACCCGCAGAAAGCCGCGGGTTCAGTCCAAATCTGCCCCGCCGGGGCGGGCCCCGCGCCGCAGGCACCGGGCAGAGGGGAGGGGGGGACAGGCTCCGGGCTCCCCGAGGGATGCCCTCGCCTCTGCCCAGTGCAGCGCCCGCGGCCCCGGGCTGAGCATCACTAGCGCCGGGGAGAGAGGGAGGTGGAGGAGGGTGAGCTGGAGTGCGCTGCTGTGATTGCTGGTGTGAGCTGGGTATGAGCTGGTGTGTGCTGGGTATGAGCTGGTGTGTGCTCGTGTGCACTGGTGTGATTGCTGGTGTGCGCTTGTGTGCACTGGTGTGATTGCTGGTGTGTGCTTGTGTGCACTGGTGTGATTGCTGGTGTGTGCTTGTGTGCACTGGTGTGCTTGCTGGTGTGTGCTTGTGTGAACTGGTGTGTGCTTGTGTGAACTGGTGTGTGCTTGTGTGCACCGGTGTGATTGCTGGTGTGTGCCTGGTATGAGCTGGTGTGTGCTTGTGTGCACTGGTGTGATTGCTGGTGTGTGCCTGGTATGAGCTGGTGTGTGCTGGGTATGAGCTGGTGTGTGCTTGTGTGCACTGGTGTGATTGCTGGTGTGAGCTGGGTCTGAGCTTGTATACGCTGGCTATGAGCTGGGTGTGCGCTTGTGTGTGAGCATGTGTGCTGGTGTGTGAGCTGGCCGCAGGCAGGGAAGGGGACATGACCAGCAGGAGGCTGGTGGGGTTGTTCAGCCTGGAGAAGGCTCCTGAAGGGGAGACCTTAGAGCAGCTCCAATGCCTAAAGGGGCTGCAGGAAACCTGGAGAGGGGCTTGGGACAAGGGCCTGTAGGGACAAGCCAAGGGGAATGGCTTGAACCTGCCTGAGGGGAGACTGAGCTGAGCTCTTAGGCAGAAGCTCTTCCCTGTGAGGGTGCTGAGGCGCTGGCACAGGGTGCCCAGAGAAGACTCCTTGGAGTCAACCCAGGTGGGGCAGGAGCACAAGTTCTCTCATATTCCATCTGTGTGGTGCCATTGTGGGTTGGTCACAAGCCCCGTTCATACCACACGATGTCAAGCAGTACCCTCCCTGAAGGTGCAAGCTGACCCAGCTCCACCTCTTCTGCAGATCTGACCCTTGTGCACTTCACAAGTGTTTGGAGGCAATCAAGGCTCCCTGATGGTATTGGCCATGTGCATGAGCCAAGTGGGCTTCCCCAACTCACTGTGGCCAGCTTCAGGCTCTGAGCACCTTTGGAAGCTCCTACCACAGCAGATGTTACTGGTCATACAAGTTGGCCGCACATTCAATGCAGCAGCCTCCAGAGAATCCTGTGCCCCACCTCCTTTCATCTTTAGTGCCTCATTAGGGTTCACTCTTGCATGGAGAGAGCTCAATTCATCACAGAAGGAGGCAGAAAGATGAGGGACAAGCAGTTGTCTTGCTGCTACTGCCTCCAGATGTGCTCCTCCATAGGACAAGAAGCCTAAGTATCAGGCTCTGTTATAGCCCCCTCCCTCCCCACTGCTCTGAAGCACTCAATATTTCCCATCAGATGTTAGAAAGCACTCTCCATCCCCAACCTTCTCAAACCATCATTCCAGATCCCCAGCTGCTGTTGTGTCCTACAAGTGCCCTGGGCAGGTACATCCCAGAGGATCCACACAGGTTTCCCAGAGTCCAAGAGGAAGCAGCAGCCACGTCTGTTTGCCAGTGCCCACCCAGACCCTCAGGATTTTCTTGCAGCTCTCCAGGGCTGCATTGCTAGACACAGTGGGAATTCTGTCCTAGGGAGGGAACAGTCACTGGAGACCTTTCCTCTCCTTTGAGCATCCCCTTAGGCTGTTGCTGCTAGAGATGGGACCTTGGACTATGCAGGTTGTCTGACTGCTGCAGTGACTTTGGAGCTCTTACATACTCCTCAGGGTGAAGTTTGTTCCCTGATGATGCTCTTCAGAGTAAGCCATGAACTGTGAGCTCTGTTCCCACCTCATGCCTTCACTCTGCTCCCAAGAAGGGCTTCCTATGACAGTGGCAAACCAGCAAGTGCCACAAAGCATGACTCCATGATAAGTGATGCCAGACCTCCTCCAGTGTCCAGGTCTGCACCTTCCTCTCCCTCTGCACCAGCTGGTGGCCTCCATGTAAAATGCTCATGGACCACAGAGTGCTGTACATCCTCACTGCTGTCCTCACCCAGACAGGAGACGTGATGCTCTTCTTGCCACCATCTGATGACAAGTGTCCCCAGCACTGTCACATGGACCTGATCACGACCAGGCAGTGGGTCCTGCCTTGGGAGGCAAGGTCTATTGGTTTTACTGGTAGCTGCTGCCTGCATCTGACCCTTGGGCAGTGCCATCATTGAAGTCTCAAACCCTGCTACAAGAAAAGTGTTGCTTTTCCCAGATAAAGGACAAGCAGCAGGACTGGGGTTCAGAAACAGGACAGCCACCACTTTGGTTGCACCAAGTTTACATCAAACGATGGTTCCCAGGCAGACAGAGCCAAGAGAGATGACATCTAAAGGACATTAAAATGGGTTTGATGGTGACGCATTCACTGTAGCATTTTCAGTTCCTGGTGCAGGAAGAACAGGTTTCATTTGCACATGAAGCCTTTGGCTCATCACACCTGCAGGAGGTGGCTTCCTCTCGCCCTCTGCAAGGTTAAAGAGGTGCAGCGGGCAACAATCAGGAGTCATGGCAGGCACAAAGGGAAGCAGCATGAGTGAAGCAGCATCTGTGCAACGGGTGGTGTAGAGCTGTCATGCACAGACTCCAGGCTCAGTGCAGCATCCTGGTGCCAGGGGTGAGAGGGAGCATCACCCAAGGAGCCCCAGCTATCAGAAGGAGCCAGGAGAAGCCTCTTGTAATTGGGGTCTAGTAAAGGTCCTTCTTCCAGAGCCACTTGCTTAAGCTCAATCCCCTCATCAAGGGAGAGAGCAGTTAATTTTGGGTGTGAGGGGTGGGGATTGAGTCCCATGGTGGCACCTGGGGCAGTAAATCTGCCCATAAAGACCCACGGAGAGCAGGCAGGCAGCAGGGTCTGGAGCCATGGAGAGAAGCCCTGCAGGAGACCAGCACCCTTGCTCAAATCTCTGCATGCAAAAAGAAAGCTTTTCAGCTCCTGGCTGAATCCCTCGGGCTCCAAGGAGCCTCGAGCTTCCAGGGGCAGGTCAGGAGGAGGAAAACACGAGCATATTTTCACAGAAATTGGAGTCTCCCTGCAGCAGCAAACCCCGTAAGGCAAAACCCAAGTGAAAAGCAGCTTCAGCTGTTCTGGCTCTGGCTGTGACGGGCTTGGCCCCAGGCCAGTGAGTTAATTCTGCCTATTAACTAATAGTATGGTATTGTCGGTAAAGATTCATTGCTAAACTTATGTTTTTAAGATATCACTTATCATTTAAACACTTAACTCTTGATCCCCAAACATGTACAGGCACCATGTAGCCCTGCAGCCATGCTGCAGATAACCAAAGCCACCTCTGGCTGCGGAGGCCGGGCAGCGTTTAACCCTTTTTCCCCTCTTTGTCTGGATGATAAATTGTCTCGAGTAGCACTTTCCAAAGGAGAGCAGGCCCTCCTGCTCGGGGACCGCTTATTATCACCTACTTAATGTTCCCAAGCTCAGCAGGGATGGAGGAACTGTTCCCAATAGCAGGGTTTTCTAACCTCTGTGAAGGGTGTGTGAACAGCAAGAAACCCCATGAATATATGTGATTGCAGGCTGTCACGGAGAACAGCCTCCCCTGTCCTGCCTTGCCTTTTCCTGTCACCCCAATGCTCCATGGTCCAGTGAGGAGCAGGTCTGGTCCTTTAGGAAGATGGGTGCGAACAGCATGGGCTGAGACCCGGGTGCTGCCCAGCGCCTCCCAGCTCAGGATGCTCAATCCCTCATCTGTGTGGTAAAGAGATGTTCTTCATCAGTGCTCTCTCACACCCTCCCAAGGGTGGACCAGCATCTTTACCAGTTTGACTGGTCTCCAACCACCATTCACACAGGCATTGGCTGCAACCCACTGCCCTCCCCAGTCCATTAGGGACATGGTGGTGAGGTTTCTCTGTGCAAAGTTCAATCAAGATAAGGGTTTTACCTCCCTTTATGTTTGTGAGGGTACCTGGCCCTGGGTGGCTTGTGCTGAAACGTGACACTGGAGAGCCAGAGTCCTCACTCAACCTGTTCAGCTTGTTGAGGGTCCTGCCCCGAGGGAGCTAATGGATGAACCAGCAGCTCCCTCTCCCCTTCAGCTTTTTCCTCCAGCATTTCTGAACTCATCTATTCCTAAACGAAAGGTTCATGCATGTGATGAATTCTGATGTTACCTGGAACCAGAAGTGGGGATGAGACAGAGAGGAAAGGAGGAGGGTAAGAAGATGGCACAGGTCAACTAAGCATCATCCTGTGCTGGGACCCCAGGAACGCAGCAGAACCCCAGGAAAGCTTCAAGGGAGGATTTAATCTCTTTGGGGAGACAAGGGGGCTGCAGAGAGGAGTGAGGAGCAGAAGGCAGCCGTGTTTCTATTGCCATTCCAATGTCTGAAATCAGGTTTTAGAGCCTCCAGCTAAATTAAGAAGCAGAAGTCAACTGGTAGATTGCACTGAAGACTTGAAATTGCACTCCTAAAATGAATGAAACTTCTGAATGGTATCCATGGGAACAAATTAAAGAGAAGAGGCACTTTTGAAGCATTTAAAATAGATTTAGAACTGCAGAATTGGGCAGGAAATTTTGGGTGTTTTGTTCAACAGCTAATATGA